GGCCCCTGCAGCTCCTCTTCTCCGAGGTGCGGGGCAAGGCGGCCGACTGGGACTACGCCATCAGCGTCAGCGCCGCCGAGATTTACAACGAGGCGCTCAGGTGTGGGGTGGGGGAAGAGCTTTCTGGTGGGGTGAGAGGAGGTGAGAGGAGCTGCTGGGCAGCCGGCTTCAGTGGGCACCCCCCCATGCTGCTCTCCTCCCTGTCCCACAAGCGCCGATGTGGCCATGCAAGGATTGAGTGTTTTTTTTCTGTGCACGTCACCTTTTCAAAGCACACACCCGCCCCCGCCCCAAGCTCCGTTAATTCCACAGTGTCCCAGCTCTGCCATCACTCCTGCTCCCCTGATCCTGGTGCAGCAGCCAGGGCATTCCCCCACTGCTCCCCGCCCCCGCCAGACATTATATTTAGAAATTACTTTACTGGGAGCTGGGAGCATGAGAAATATTTTCCTCTGCTGCCCAGCCACAGGCAGGAGGGGCCGGGAGGAGACTGGGAGTACATCTGTGTGGAGAACAGGGGCTGGGAATGGCAAAAAAGAGCAGGGATGGGAACGTGGACTGGCTTGGCAGGAGTGGACACACAGGGAGCTGGAGAGACGAGGTCTATAAATAGGATGTGCAGCATCTGTGGGAGGAGCGGGCTGCTCTGGCAGCCTTGGCACACAGCCCAGAGCCGTGGTGGGGGTGCCGTGCCAGAGAGGAGCTGGTGCCCGTCACCCTCTTAGGGTGAGGATGGTGATGGGTACCTCTTTGTCCAGGGACTTGCTGGGGAAGGAGCCACAGGAGAAGCTGGAAATCAAGCTGTGCCCTGATGGCAGTGGGCAGCTCTATGTGCCTGGGCTGACTGAGTTCAGGGTGCAGAGCGTGGAGGACATCAACAAGGTGAGGGGAGACGGGGGGCAGTGGGAGCAGGAGGGTGGCACCAGGGGTGCAGTGAGGTTGGGGAAGTGTGTGGTGTGTGATCCCTGGGTTCAGGAGTATTTCTGAAGCACCAGCAGGCAACAGGGTCAAAAATAGGTCCCCAAGTGTGACGTGAAGGTCACTGGACCATGGGGTGAACTGCAGGGGGTTAAAAATAAAAACATGGGGCCCAGCAGCTTCCAGGGGATTAGTGGGATGCTGGCTGTCACTCTCTGCCTTCACTGTGTCACCCCAGCTGAGACCTGACAGCGGTCACCAACCTGATGGACCACATGCCTTATGGGGGGTTGTCGCTCGGGTTACATACCGGGGGGAGGGGGTACCTGGGTTATGGGGAGCTTGGTGCAAGCTGACCTCGCCCCTTACCTCCCCCAGGTCTTTGAGTTTGGCCACATCAACCGGGCAACAGAGTGCACCAACCTGAATGAGCACAGCTCCCGCTCCCACGCCCTCCTCATCGTCACCGTCCGTGGCCTCGACCGCAGCACGGGGCTGCGC